TATATCACATTATTATAGTGTGATTGTCGATGGAGCAAACTTGTAATTGCTAATACAGTTGATTGACTAAGCTTTCTGTACTTCCAGTATTCTACCTTGGTTGCATAATTTTGAAAGGCTTCTCCATATGTATGTGCATAATCATCTTCTATCTCCTTTTCTTTAACTTATTAGAACGCCTGAAGTTCATCAAGCCCCCCATGGATATCTTCCTTGAGGTTAATGTGCAAGGTCGTATTCCTTGTCATGTGCGCGGTTACGGCGAAATCACAGTGGAGTGGTACCGTTTACTTCCGGCCTTAGACGAAACGAATTCTGCATTAGTGCTCGATGAAGTCGACAATCGTCTCCTGACAAGTGGCACCTATAACATCGACGAACTCAACGCACATGGCAAGATCGGCGCTGGCAGTCAGGCTGAAATGGAGTCGTCAAGACATCGTCTACAGCTCATCCAGCCACCAAATCAAGTGGAGGGTGGAGAGTTGATCATTCAATTGGTGGAGAAGCGTGACGCCGGCGAGTACACTTGTGTGGCCAGATCCACATACAATTCCTCCGTGATCACGCGCTCAATAAGGATAGAAGTTGGTGGTAGGCTGCTCATTTATCTTCAATTTTATTTTCAACTATTAGAGAAACACGCACCAGACAATCACACTTGCAGTGGGTATGAAAAACGGCTGGGTTTCAATTAGTCTCCTCGGGTAACAGTGTTATGGAGACTTTAATTTCATACGAAAATGCATGATAAAGAGATTCGTTGGTTGATCTCATTGGAAGACGAGTGCCGATTCCCATTGTTCTACAGCCGTTTGGCTATTAATACGACATTCAGGTTAACGTAGTCTACGAGGCATCCTCTCTCGTGTCGGGTGTAAATGGGCTGATCTTTCATTCATCATATGACGAACATCATCAGAGCTGGAACTCGTTCTTGCACGTCTCAAGTTGGCATTTGAAGTCAGCAAGACTATCCTGCTCTATCCTACATGTCATCTATACCCAAATAAAAAAAAGAAAATATATTGCTGTAGATAGATAGATATAAAATGATTTGGATGATTTTCTTTTATATTAGCTATGGTAATTTTGCTTGAGTGTGCCAGACTGTCTGAATGTGTATATATAGGTGTGTGTATGTATGCATGTGTGCGTTAAATTGTGTACACAATAACGGTTCTAAATCAGATTAAATAGAAAAGTTTAACGTCATTCGTTAGCACATGCACACACATACATGTATGTAAAAGTACCATGGGTAATATGAAGAAGGACTAACAAAATCGTTCGATTAATCAATCATCTTTAGCTCGTAGCTATGAAGACCAAGATGGTGCGGACTTCTGTATGGCCACAGCCTCCCTTAGCTGTATAATGTTGGTTCGACCTCATTTTCAAAACTTGGTCGGAGTGCCAGGGAGACTTTGCGGAACGTATCCAGTCCTATATCCCCTCCCATGGTATTCGTGCTTTCCAGCATCAAGCAATTTACTTGGTATATTCCCAAACGTTTCGTCAGCATCTTAGTCTGCATCGTCACTGAGAGGCGCCATCGTAAGCACAGAGTTACAACTTATCAAAGTGACAAATGGAGGCAGTCCTCGTAACCAATTTTCTGTTAAACCGTTGTGGCATCACTCTTCGCCCCTAACTTATATTCTATTCTCTAGTGGTGCATCTCTTTCTATCAGCTTCATTTCATATCGCCCATTTGTCTATTCGCACAATTCTGTGCTCTCATTTCATACATTGCCGCCTAAGAGTGAAAAGCAAACTCCTCTCGTCCTTCAAGTTGACACTCCTATTCTACTACCAGTACTTCATCACCTTAGATGAAATAGGGTGAATACATCTCATTACACTGATTTACTGGTAGTCTCAAAACTCTACTCTTATACGAAAATAAGTAACGTAGTCGATTGCTATAGCAAATATACGTTTGCTTCATCGGCACTTCCACCAGAGAATATGATATAGCAAAGAGGCCTGATCTTCCTTGAAATTCACTTATGCCCTGTGACTCAAGGGTACTCGTGGTAGTGTAGCCGAGTGGTTAGAGTGTCAAGCTCTCATCTTGCACTGTCGCGGTGTGAATCCCGCTGAGGGTGTTGATAAGACCAATGCGAGGTCGAAACTGCAGTCCAC